TTAAGAGAAATCCAACATGGACGTCTCCGAGAAATCCCCTGTGGAGACACATGCCCTCCGCTTGGCGGAATCCTTGCGTTCTCGAAGTACAGTTCAAGTTGTTCTGGAATCCATGTTCTACGGTTCCATTTGCACGTCTACATTTTTCGGCAACCTCCTTATTCTCTACATTATTTACAAGCCGCCGAGACTTCGAAACGTACCAGGGTTGTTTATAGCTTCGCTCGCTTTTTCAGACACCGCAACAATCGCCCTCGCTACTCCGCCATCTTTTGCATCACTCATCGCAGGTCGCTGGACTTGTGGCTTCATTGCATGTCAGCTTCAAGGCTTTGTTGTCATAGCATCAGTAGCTGCCTCGCTGCAGATCATGGCCCTTATGTCTATCGATCGATATTTCCGCGTTGTTCAACCGATGAAGCATCGAATTTTCTTCACCATGCCACGCGCACGGTTGATGACCGCGTCGGTCTGGATCTTATCTCTAATGTACCCAGTCCCTTATCGTGCCAGTGATAGAAAACACATCTTCCACCCCGGAAAGTTTTTCTGTTTCCACGAAGCGGACTCATCCTTTACAGCCGACGTTATTTACATCTGCATTTTTATTTCCCTTGCTGTTCTGTCATTTTGTTATTTTAAAGTTTTCAGACATCTGAGGCTGGACACAAGACGCGTTAAAAACCTACGAGGAGCATCTGTCGCTACAGATGACAACACACGTCATATATCACAAGAAGAGATAAGACTTACGGGATCTTTATTTGTCACTGTGCTTGCATATCTGATTTGTTGGACTCCTGTTCTTATTGTCGACTTTGTAGAAACGGGTGTTGGTGATTGGTCCCTTTCCCATGGGGTCTATGTCATGTACACCACTATTGGAACCACAAGCTCCTCTCTGAACCCCATTATGGAGTCCTTAATCAAACATTTCGTCGAGAATACAGGAGGATTTTTTGCTTCAAGCACTGATTAACTGATATGTAATGCGAACAAAAAAAAAACAAATATCATGAAGCGGCACTTCGGAGACAGGGGGGAGGTTCAAGTGATATTATTACTGCGGACAGACGGTAATACAGTGTTCATATGCTGTGTGGACAGTGTGACCGAGTGATTAATTAGGCCAGTACTAGATTCCGTCTTTCTACTAACCTAATTAACTCTCCGTTATCTTAAGTTCAAGTTCTTAGCCGTGCTCTATAAATTTCCAACTAACCAGCCTCTCAAATTATTGCCCTTGCAAACACCCCTCTGTACCTGGTTTTTAACGGACCAGATTGATCCAATTTGTCACCTGGGGCCTGTTTCTCGAAAGCCCCGGAAACTTTTCGGGCTCGAAAAGCCATTTTCAGTTAATCGGTATTTAAAGACAGAGAGTTATGTACGTCTGAAACTTCTGGTACGGAATGGAACCTCTGTTCATATTAAGAATATGTGAATAAAACAGCTCTGTAACCATAAGGTTTGAGATTTTGCCATGGCTTTCCGGGTGCGAAAACTTTTCGGGACCTTCGAGAAACGGGTCCCTGGGCAGTACTAGGGAAGCCAATGATTTAATATACAAATAAAACTTATACAGTTCACGCAAAAGTAAAGTTTCTGGCCAGTATTTTACATGCTATGCTAGGTATATGAAATTTGCGAAATTTTAAGTATAAACCCTGAGGCTGAGATTTTGAACATAATAAACTTTGTGTTTAAAATTTGTAAATGCAATACAGTTATTATGTTTTTTTTTTTATCAAACCGTATGAAATTATTCCTTTCTCTAAACGGAAAAACAGGTGAAAAACAACAATAACAGCACCGTACCAGCCGTATGTTCGATGATCATAACATTTCTGCAATTAAGACGTTATGTATGTCAGATGTCAGGCCTTAACAAAATTACTTCAACGCATAAAAAATGAGTGTATACATATTTATTTATATATGAGTTGTTTATCACCAGTCTTTAACACAACTCTTTACTCTGTTTTTGGACAATTCTGAGCCAAATGATTTGTAGGTGAACCCGAATCGCCTACAAGGGATTACAAAATAAATAAATATTTCGAATTTTTTTCACACAAAATGTGTCCCCTCTGTAAAACAAATTCAGCAAATACACTAAACACGTCATATACAAAATGAATGTATAACCAGTCAATTCATTAATTTGGTGCATATTCATATATGCGGCCAAGTTTTTTTACGATAAAAAGTCGCCCTTCGCACACACATCAGTCGTTCAGGGTGTACGTGCGTAGCGCGTCTTCAATCAATTGTATGATCACGCGGAAAGTTTTCAACTCAATTAATCTGGTGATTCCCTGCCATTCTGCCAAATCTCAGCAGATATTCACACGGCTTGCTTGTTTTCATCACTGATAACTCCAAACCGTAAGTATAAAAAATTAGCTTCTTGATTTAAAGGGGGATACCAAGAATGACAGAAAAAGATGTGAAGACAACATGATTCTCCCTATTTCGTTAGACTGCCAACGATCCAATCGACTGTAGAATTACATATATTTTTTTTTTACCACAACACGTGCAGTCTGAAGAACATGAAAACGGTGTTAACCTAAAACGTAAACGGTTCTCTCTCAAATGCTTTTAAACGCTGTTTTGGGCTATCTGGAGTGCTTTAAAAGCGCTGTACGCTAAATTTAGGCTCGGCCTTTTACAAAAATCATATCTGACCTTTTTTCAGTGCCCAGAACGACTTTTTTATCAAGCCAAAAACAACAAGCATTAATTTCTCGTTTAACGGCAGTCAGGTGACCGCCAATTTTCATACGAAAATCGGAAGGGATTAAAAGCCTTCAGAACAGCTGACTCACTGAAATGATCCTTTGGGTGATTTTGTCAAATCATCTTCTGGAAATTTAAAAACTTTGTATTCCATTTTGCTTTGCCTCAACTGTTGTTTGAGCAATCGAGCACCCATTTGAGCAACAACACTGTTTTGCATGAAGGAATAATCTTGTTCACTTTTAAATTTACACAGATGACGATCAATATTGACTCACTCTAATTTTCTTTTATTACAAAAGTATTACAAAACACGAGGCCAAAAGTTTTCACCTTGCGCTAGAATTTCCGTGAGATTCGCTGATAAGCCTTTAATTTGATTACTCTCTATAGATAGTCGAATTTTACTTTTCTCGACGTGATATAACAGGCTATTTTTTCTTCGGGCACTTCACTGAGTGTAGTATTGACATATGCACTTCTTTGCCAGTGCTGATACGTTTTGAGCCGAAATTTGACTCATACAAGTCTATTTTTTTTTTCTCTGTTTTTAATCTGATATGCTTATTTCAAGAAGGTCGTACATTATTTTAATGGAAGCACTAGAAATCCACCTGAAATGCTTTCAAAACACGAGTCCTACGATTGTATTTTTCTTGACAGTTTTCGAATCTCCAAACTTTCACGAGTGTCCCTTGGACAAAGAAAACGTTTTCTTACGTTTTTAAAATAATGAGAGAGAAACATATCTTACTTACTAATAGACAATTTAGAACAACCCTATCATGAGCCTGGGAAGTATAAGCACTTAATGACTGACCCCAAGGGAAACAGTGAGTTTTGTTTCCCCGAAACCCTCAATGTTCCGGAGGCCAAGCCGAGGAGAACATTGAGGTCGAGGGGAAACGAAACTCACTGTTTCCCACGGGACCAGTCATGTGGTTTGTTTTACCTCCCAACTCCAAAACAGAAAAAAAAACTGCAAAGTAGTCGCTTGCTTGACGCAGCCTGGCTCACAAATTTGCGGCGGTTTCAAGGAGCATGACCTGATCACGTGCGAGTCGAAAGTTGAAGTTCTTGTTTCCCAAAGGAGTTAGTGAGTTTTGACCCACGACACGTGACACGTTCCCCTCCAATCGGAAAACGTATTTGAGTTGAGAGGTATAACAAAATAATTTATTTCGTGTCAATAACACGGGGGTGCTTAGAATTGTCCAATCTCTCGAGCCAGAGGCTAAAGTTAAAAGTGCTTGACAATATAATAATATTAACAATACTAGAATGATAATAATAATAATAATAATAATAATAATAATAATAATAATACGCTTTTAAAATCTAAGGAGTTAAGAGTGAGCCGAATAATGAACTAATGACAAGATGGTAATAGTTCAGCTAAATAAATAAGGTTTAGGAAAAGCTTTATACTACACTTTTTATTAATAAGTTTCGTTATTCCTTATTCTTTTCATTTTCAGAGAAATCCAACATGAACGCCTCTGACAAATCCCCTGTGGAAACACATGCCCTCCGTTTGGCGGAATCCTTACGTTCTCGAAGTACGGTTCAAGTTGTTCTGGAATGCTTGATCCATGGTTCCATTTCTTCCACGGCATTACTCGGAAATATCTTTGTTCTCTATGTTGTTTACAAATCATCAAGACTTCGAAACGTAACAGGACTCTTTGTTGTTTCACTCGCATTGTCAGATATCGCCATGGCAACCCTCGTGACTCCGCAATCTTTTGCAGCACTCATTGCAGGTCGCTGGACTTCTGGCTTCATTGCATGTCAGCTTCAAGGCTTTGTTGTCATAACAACGGTAGCCGCCTCACTGCAGACCATGTCCCTCATGTCTATCGATCGATATTTTCGTGTTGTTCGTCCAATGAAGCATCGAAGTTTCTTTACTATGCCCCGCGCCCGGGTCATGGCCGCGTCGGTCTGGATCTTATCTCTGATGTATGCGGTCCCGTATGTTGCCAGTGGTAGAAAATACATCTTCCATCCGGGAAAGTTTTTCTGTTTTCACGAAGCAGAATCGACTTTTGAAGCTGATGTCATTTACATTTGCCTTTGTATTTCCCTTGCCGTTCTTTCATTTTGTTATCTTAACGTCTTCAGACATCTGAGATTGAACGCAAAACGTGTAAAAAATATGCGCGGGGCACATGCCACTACAGATAACAATGCACGTCACATATCACCAGAAGAGATAAGACTGACACGAACTTTATTTGTCACTGTGCTTGGATATCTGATTTGTTGGACGCCTGTTGTCATGATTGATTTTGTAGAAATGGGTGTTGGTGATTGGTCCCTTTCTCGTGGAGTCTATTTCTTCTACACTAACATTGGTCTAACAAGCTCGTCTCTGAACCCCATTATATATGGAGTCCTCAATAGGACATTTCGTCGAGAATACAAGAGGATATTCTGCTTCAAGACTAAGTTATCAAACCAGGATGAAAACTGATTGGGGACATAAATTAACAGAGAAGCAAAAAGAACGTACGGAAGAAGCGCACCCCCAGGGCGTCTATCATCAGCTGAGCACCCCTCTTCATTATGTTTTCGACACATTAACCTTAGTGTAACTGAATCGTAAATACTCTTTTTCTTTGGCCATCGTAGATTAACAAGAAATAACACGCAAAGTGCGGGGATAAACATGGCAATAAAACGCATTGTTGGAAAACAAAACTATATCTGAGATAATGGTTTGGCGTGACTGAATGATATTCTCACGAGGCTCTCAAAAGCCATGGTCTACTTTCATCCAGCATCTCTCTTGTTTCACTGTGAATCAACCTAGTTTTCTGTACCTCTGTCAGCACCAAAAGCCTATCTCACTCGTTTGCAACATAACCAGCTTAACCAGCTTCGAAAGGTACCACACTCCACATCTCTATCCCGGACCTCTAACCTGGCGCCATCATCACCCTTGCGTATGCTCCCACACTCCTTGTACTCCTCAACATTGGATGAGACAAGCAGATGGAGAATTGCTTGGTTACCCTAACAGTTAACAGCCAGCTTGTTGAAGCAGCTCTTGTGGGGAATTAGCTCGCTACTCCAACGATTTAATGATCTAGTGTTGGACTTACAACAATTGTCAATTACCTGCCGTGCTAACTTACACGATTCTAATGATTACGACTTACATAAGGGCTTGCGTAGTTGGCCATTAGTAGAAGTAGGAGTGCGGGTGTAAGCCGAAATCTTTTTCCATCTTAAAGTTTGAGTGCAATATAAAAATTACAAAGATCATTTTTGCAGAATTAAATTAAATGTAGGTAACAGCATTGTACAGAACATTTAAACTTAAGATTCTTATGCAGTGTCTTAAAGCAACAACTACAACAGTGACTGAATAAGGTAACATCGAAGAATAAAGGAAGACTTCCTAGTTATGCCTTTTTTCCGGCCGAAATGAATACGAAGTTATTTCACAAGTTTCAGATCAGACATTTGCTCGGAAACGTGTTCAGTTAAAAGACTGGCGTTTGAGATATGCCGCAGTAAAAGAATAATTTACACAAGTGGTAATGTGCAACACTTTCTTAAAGGTGTAAGCGATATCAGCTGGTATGGTTTCAATACCGATCGCCAAATAAAAACAACTAGAAATAATTCAAGATAGAAAAAGACAGAAAGATAAGTAACTACAGGGAAATAGCAACTTCTACTAGTTTTGATTGAAGCCATACCACGAAATATTCAAGTCTAGTTGGTAGTAAAGTGTAATTTTAAGTTTAATCCAGCCTATAAGAGCAAGTTATCTTCAGTAATCAATATTTAACCCATGATAATTATTCCTTTAGTAAGTGAAACAATTATTCAACACCCAATTGCGTTTGAAGATACCTGCAATTGCATGTAATACCTTGACAGTAAAATACACCTGCAACTGATAATTATAATTTATTACTCTAGTTTTAATTCCAAAATTTCGTATTTTTATGGTTTAGCAAGTTGGATAGCCGGCTGGTCAGCTTCCAGCAAGTTGGTTTACTTTGTCAAGCGTGTGAACTACCTCTCTAACGTAATTGCACATTTTCATTTTTAAAGTTTAGCATTTTACAATAATAATGATGTCTACAACACCACAAGAGCTTAATTTCACTTTTACTTATGTGTCATGTACGCGGCCTTAGGCCCAGTTCAGACGCCGAACTTAATACGTTGAATTAAGTACATGAGAGGTTCGCGTCTGAATATGGCTATTTATTGGGCCATTTTCGTATTCTCGGTATTGGACTGGAACTAGCTTGCAATGGAGGCTCATGCAGGGGAATCATTCGCATTTGAAAAGACTCCCCGCATTAGCCTCACTTGCAAGCTAGTGCCAGTCCAATACCGAGAATACGAATATGGTTTAATATTTGGAACTGTTCAACCATTCTTCCCGTATAGCTCACCCGGCAATTTCGGCTTTGAAACTACTTTGATTCAGACGTCGAACTTTTCATGTGCCGAACCTAATACGTTGAATTAAGCACACTTTGCCTGAAAACCGCTGACATTTCGACTTGTTTTGGTTCAAACTAAATTTAAGTTCGGCGACTTAGGAGCTGTTCATGTTATACCGGAGTGACTTTCATTCTGGAACGATTTCATTCCATCCCCATATATTTCTCTGTATCTGTTTACATGATACCGAATCGAAATTTCATTTCCTTACAAGTCATTCTGAAATGAGTTCATTCCGGTTTTCAATCTGAATGAAATTCTCGTTCTGGTATGAATTTTCATTCTGGTATCATGTAAAGTGAAAACAAACTTCGTTCTGAAATGAAAATCGCAAACCGTGTAGTCTAGAGCGGATGGCGCATGCATATCGTTTTCAAGAACTTACGCCATCTTTGTTTTCTGATCTGGCCAGAAAACCTGGGGCTCATCGATTGTGTCATGTGAATGCAATACGAAAAGAACTTCATTCTGGAACGAAACTCATTCTGGAATGGAAGTCATTCTAGAATCATGTGAATAGCCCCTTAAG